CCCGCTTATGCAAATGAAGCCTGGGAAATTCAAATCCCGGGCTTCATTTGCAAGTGCGGTATGCCTACATTACCCCGCTAGTTCGAACTAGGAGCGTAGTGTAGACATACCCCCAGAGATTAGGGATCTATTACAGAAGTGGGCAGGTGAGATTTTGTGGCCTGCAACATGCTGGCTATAAAATCTATGAATCTGACTTAGGCAAGGTTTACACCAGTGCAGCTGAGGGCAGGTGCATGGAATATAGTTTCTAGATCCTTCTGGAAGAACATTTGGAATGTCGGACTCCAAAATGGAACACCAGAACTAGATCAGTGCAGAGCTGCAGACGCACTCACAGAGCACTTATATCTCAGTTGGGGGACAAATCCTATGAGTGGGGGGTCCTTCTCCTGTTCATCTCCACTTCGAAACAACACTCAAAACCCGAATAAACCGATTGGAACCTCTTTGAGGCAGATCAGAATTTATTAAGGAGTATGTGCTAAGTAATGTTCCTTGCGAACACGTGGGTGCTCCAAACCATACCTTCTTGCCACTGTCGAGGACTGAGAACTTTTTGCACCCTGCGTGGCAGGGAGAGTAATACAGGATGCCATCGCTTCCACAAACTGGACTGTAGGTCTCCCTTAGACAGCCACATTCCGTGTTGCATGCTGCTGTCAGGTTTAGGCTGCTTTTCAGTATGCTAAAGGGAACAGTGAAGTAGTGAGCAGTCTGAGTTGCCAACTTTTTGACCAATCAAAACCGAGCACCCTTGCCCTGCCCCTTCTCCGCTCACTTCATTCTCGCTCCCCCCTTGCTCTCCCTCCCCCACCCACCGTCACTCACTCGTTCATTTTCTCCAGTCCGGGGAGGGCTGTGGAGTGTCCCTTTACAATTGGGTGTTCATTTGAAAAATGGACATCTGGCAACCTGGTGGAATAAGAGGAGAGCAAAGGGGGTGTGAGAAGATGCTAAGGATGCTGGAAGGTGTTCGACTGTGTTTAGTCATACATGTGGAACATGCTAGAAGGTTGGCCTTGCAACCATGCAGCTGTGATATTATTCTTCATTGCATAAATATTAGACTCAATGTTAATTACTCAGGCTTTGTCTATAGTACCACAAGCCGCTGACCTAAGTTACACAACTTCAGCTACATGAATAACGTCGCTGAAGTCAACTTCCTTAGGTCTGCTTACCACAGTGAGGTTAATAACCAATGCTCTCCTATCAGCTCTGCTTACTCTTCTCATTCTGAAGGTGTACCAGACTCGATGGGAGAGCACTCTATACTAGACACGATAAATCAAGCCCTGCTAGATTGATTGCTGCCCATCGATCCAGCCTGTAGTGAAGACTTGCCCTCAGATTTATCCTTGTGTTTCTGTGCCACCACAACACATGACTGAGAAGAATGGATATTGTTAGCATTACCTTCGCTCGTATCCCTGCGTTACTCCCGCCATCGGCATGTTAGGGCACTGAATGAAAAATATGAAAATAGCCAGGAGACTTGTCACTGTGCAAAGTAAACACAACTTGATGATTCCTGAACAGCGAAGCTTAAATTTATTCACGATGAATCCACCCAGGAATGTTCCTACTCCCCCAGCTGGTACGACAAGATAACCTAGAAAAAAATGTGTAAGTGTCAGGAATGGAGTTTCTATTGGTCTGAGTAAATAAACGGCAGTTGGCACAATTGCAACTCCTTCTGTGCTACTGGTTTCCTAGTATGCTGGTTTCCCAAGAGGAATTTATAGGGCTTTAAGGAAAGGAAAGGAATCCTTTTTTTCCCCTCAGTAGCACCTTTGAAAGCCTAGCCCCAAATCTGAGAAAATAAGGAAATATTTTCTGCATACAGTATAGCTCCACTCTGAAAAATGACTTTCCAAGAAGAGGATTATAGGGTTCTATGATTATTGTATCCCATTCAATTCAAATCAAAATGTGCTTCATTTACCAATATAAATGTGTGTGTGTGTGTGTTTTCTAACTAGCACGCCTGCAAGCTCAGCCTGGGATCTCACAGTGAAGCTGGGTGCTTTCCAGCTGCATGTTGCCAGAAATACAGGTTTTGCAGCTCAGCAGCTCTGCTCATTTGCACCTGAGTAATACTTGGACACAACTACTGACTGTTCTCTTGATAGTGCACAGAAAGGAACAAACTGCAGCGCATTCTGTGGTGGTCTGGCAGGACCAACATATGTAAAAGCTAGATAAACATTTCCCACTGAAGTTAGCAGACAGAACACTGACTGCACACAGTGCGCGGGTCTGCTGGGTTTGACGGTGCTATTTATAGCTAAGACTACAGCCACATTTTACATGATGCACAGTGTAATTACTGCATTCGGGTCACGATTGCCTTTGGCTCGGATGAAAGAGATCATTTGCTTGCTCATGAGATTTTAGCATTTTTATGCTATATACGATTGTCAAGGGGGGCACTGCCAAGAATCCGTTTTCTTACCAAACAAGGTAGCAGCTTCAGAGGCACTCAAACTAAATTGTGACTCAAGGAACTTGGGCCCAAAAGTAGACATTCCTGCAATGAGCGTGGCTTCAGTTGCTCCAGCTAAACAGAGGAAGATGAAAGTGGGGTTCTTCAGAAGGAGCAAGACTGACCTGTGGAATCCAAGAGGCATACATAAAAGACAAATGTGAAATAGCATAGGGTGGAGGCACTTTTACTTCATCGCTGTCTCTTTGAAGCTAAGGCAGGGGTGGGCAATACTTCTTGATGGGGGGAGGCTTAGGGTCAAGGGCTGCACTTTTCTACAGTGGAGGTGTGGGGACTGGGATGGAGGTTGGGTGCAGATGGGAGCTCGGGGTAGGGAACTGGGGTGCAGGAGAGGGTGTGGGGTCTAAGAGGGAGTTTGGGTGAAGGACTGGGTTGTGACCTGGGGCAGAGGACTGGGGGGCAGGATCTGGGTGCGGGTATGGGTTCAGAAGAGGATTCTGACTTGGGGGAGAGATGTAGGAAGCGGTGCAGGGTCTGGGAGGGAGTAGTGACCTGGGGAGGGGGGATGCAGAGGGTTTGGGTGGTGACCTGGGGCAGGGAGTTAGGAAGCAGGAGGGGCTGGGATGGCAGAGGCAGGCTCTGGCCAGGAGGCACTTACCTTAGGTGGCTCCCAGACAGCAGCCCAACAGGACTCTGAGGCAGGATCCCTGCCTGCTGCAGCCCCAAGATGCTCCCTCCTGCTAACTGCTCCCTCCATGTGCCTCTCTGCTCCGCACACTGGGAAGGGAGGGGGCCTTCACCTGCTGCCCCCAGCCCAGTCCCTGCATCTCCCATTGGCCAGAAACTGGCCAGTGTGAGCTGCAATGATTGGGCAGAGGCAGGGGCAGCGTGCAAAGTCTTCTCCCCCCCCCCCCCCCCCAAGAGGCACGTAGTGCCTAGAGAAAGCAGTCAGCCATTTTGAGCAACCTGGGGCTGCGACAGGCAGAGAGCTGCCTTGGGGTCCTGGCAGGGTGGGCAGCAGGCCGGATCTGGCCTATGTGCTGAATCTTGCCTGCCCCTGATCTAAGGGATAGATGGGGGGGTTTAGATTCATCCTTCCGTAAGAGTGGGAATAGCTGCGCTTCTTTAGAAGAAAAAGAAAGGAAACAGTTGCGGCAGCTCTTTAAAAATCAGCCTGCTTCTCCCCTCAAGCTGATCCAGCCATGAGGTCCCTCTCTCAGCACTCCCTCTCCAACGCTGGGTGAGAAGTATTGGGTGAACACTGTCAGGCAGCATCCTCTGTAAGCAGCCGCCTCCCTTGGAAGTGGACAATCTTTACTTTGCCCACTGAGTTTGATCAACATTGTAGGGGTTTCTCAGGGTTCCTCACCTTGCCTATTCATGAAGATGATTTCCCCAGCTGAACACCTTGATTGCACCTGCTGACTTTGGTATGCATGTGTTGGGCCCACCTATCTGATGGTTGCACAAGCAAACAGGGACTAGCATATTCCATATGGGTGTTGCGTGTACAATCACTGACATCTCAAGAACAACGGAAGTTGGGTCTGGCAGACACAAATGGCGGGATCACAAATTCTGGGGGTGTAATTTAGATGGTGAGTTTTGAAAATTCAGGGCTTGTCTCTGCAAGGTGTTGGACTGTTTTCAATTCCCATTCAAGGCACTGAAATCTGAGGGTGCTCAGTGCCTTTCCGAACTGGGTCTGAATTGAAGGACAACATATCAGTAAATATCCTTTTAGGTCCTGATTCTAGCTAATGAATACAGTCAATTCTCATTACGGTTTATGGAAGTTATACCCGTAAACAGTGATTTGAATCTTAGTAACCCAAACCCGGACCAGGTGATTGGGGCTAAGAAATAAAGCAGTGTTTCATGCCAGCACTTCTCTGTTTGTGAAAGTAGTAGGAGCAGGGAAGAAACATATAACAAATACCTTGTCATCCTACTACAGAGCATCAATCAGCCCCAGCAAGACAAACTGAGGCAGAGTTTAAGTTTAACTAGTATGGTTAGCAAATACATTTTCCTTGCAACTAATTGGGATTTACCGGTGGAAAACAGACATCCCAAACCATTTGCCCTGTGCTATAGAGGTGACCCCCAATTTACGACCGCCCGACTTATGATCCCCCCATATTTATTACCATTTTTTTCATGTGAGATAGCTCCTAAACCCCCCCAATTTATGTCCGCAGCTCGCATTTATGACGGTGTACAACACAGATTCTATGCGTCATCCCAAAACAGGAAACGTACAAGGTCAGTCAGAATCGCCAGTCTGCAGCTGCTGCTTGAACTGCACACGTAATTTAGTTATTTTTGTGTATTATGTGAACTATTTAGACTAGTTTTCTTCCATTTCCGAGGTCATTTTGGTATTTTTAGGGTATAAAATGGGTTTCCAGGAATGGAACCGCCATTTATTACATTGCGCCGATGGGAAATAAAGGTTCGACTTATGACGGCTTGACATACAATGGTTCTCAAGGAACCAATTAGGCCATAAGTGTGGGGGTCACCTGTATTTCTGCAGAAAGATGATCCAATAAGTGATCCTTCTCTTTGATACAGAAAAAGCCTCAGGCTTGCTGGACAGTCTCAGTTCTTCTTCCCTGTCTTGGATATTGAATTAGAAAATCTATGTTGCTTTCGGGGGATTTGTTTTTCTTTGGTAAGTGGCTTAAAATTCTGTCATCTACTCTATATCAGCGTACCCCCATGGCTCCCTTTTCAATGTATGATGGGAAATGGAAAGTCCTGCCAGTAGCAGTTTGGAACAAACTGTCTCTCTCTGGAATGATAACAAGTGATGTCCTCAGCAGAGCTCGCCAGACATTCAGCTGATGTGTGTGTGTTTCATGTAAAAAGTCACTTGACAATTGTTTACAGCTTTGGTAGCAATGTGATATGGGGACAAACCTATTGCCATGCGACTCAACATCAAAACTGTCTGTCAAAACTTTTGATGGACACCAGGCAGGCGGGCAGGCCAACATCCAGCTGCTGCCTAGTGCTTCTCAGTTCCTCGGATAGCTGGTTCCCAGGGCTGTCTGCTCCGGTTCCCTGAGCAGCAGCCATTCCATGCTACCTGACTCCTCGGAAGCTGAAAAATTCCATTTCAATTCTCCCCAAATGGAAGTTTTCATCCAATGATACATTTCAAATTGCTCCCTTTTGATCCTGCATTGAGATTTTCCCCTTCCCAAACAAACCAAAAGATTTTCAGTGGGAGGGAAATTCTGTTTCTAGCCAGGTCTAATGTGGAGTCTCTGCATCACACATTCAGGCTGTGTCTACACTGGCATGAATTTCCAGAACTGCTTAAAACGGAATACTATTCCGTTTTCAGTTTTTCCGGAAAAGGAGCGTCTACATTGGCAGGCTGCTTTTCCGGAAAAGCCCTTTTTCCGGAAAAGCGTCTGTGGCCAATGTAGACGCGCTTTTCCGGAAAAGAGCCCCGATCGCCATTTTCGCAATCGGGGCTTTTTTCCGGAAAAGACTACTGGGCTGCCTACACTGGCCCTTTTCCAGATCAGTGTTCCGGAATAAGGACTTATGCCCGAGCGGGAGCAGAATAGTTTTTCCGGAATAGCGGCTGAATTTGTACAGTAGAGCATCGTTGCTTTTCCGGAAATTCAAGGGCCAGTGTAGACAGCTCGCAGCTTATTCTGGAAAAGCGGCTGATTTTCCGGAATAAGTGGCCCAGTGTAGACACAGCCTCAGGGTGTTTAGATATTCCTAAGTTACTGTCTCTGTGTCGTACATGATTGCTACATACCCAAACAACCAAGGGAGAAAAAAAGAAAGAAAAAACCCCCCCAAAAACCCTATAATGTAATTTCATGGGACTCTATTGCAACCATTCTAATTGTTAAAATAAGTTTTAGTACTTGAATATTCTTCAAGAGATGACCTAATCTCCCCACCCCTTTGCCAATTATTTCCCTAAACTGTAACATGAAAGAAATTAACCTGCATGACTTCATTTTATTTGAAAGCACAATACCTAATCCCTGGACTAGAAAACATGTGACTGGTTGTGTTTTCTGTGTGACTGCTCCCGTATTCTACACTCAAGAGAAAACAAAGCAGTAGGACATCACAGGAAAGCCATTTCTGATTTCAGAGCAAAGAGTAGAGGCCAGATCCTCAACTGGTGTAAAGCAAGGTAGCTCCAGTGATGCTATTTGTGGATCTGCTTCATCTTCGATTACTTGCACATAGAGGGACTGGTCCTGACAAGTAGCATCCAGTACAAAATCTTTTGGACCCAGTGCAATTGCTGCACATCTCCTGAGAAATCCTGCACATCTCCAGCTCTTGAATTTACTGGGAGCTAAGGAAACTCACCAACTCCCAGGGATAAGCCCTGCTATATACTAAGGTTTGATCCTGCAACCCTCACCCATATGGGTAACCCTTTCACATAGTCATGGTGGCTTAACTAAGGCCACAAGCAGCATTAATTCACCTGTGCAGAATAGGGACAGTGATAGGGATTTAAGCAACTAGTCTCTCCCCACCCTTGCTACCTCTATCAGAGAGAGGCAGCAAGTGGGAGGAGCAGGAGCTGGTGCTGGGGGGAGCCGGCTTTAAAGCTGGTTCCCCCTAGCACCATCTCTGCGGGGAGCAGGGGAGATAGAGGCATAGAGGGAAATGGCGCGAGTGGGGACTGAAGCAGTCTCTGCTCGCACCGATTCTGTTATGATTCTGCTTTCGAAATGTACAAGAGCCCTGGCGAATGTACAAGAGCCCTGCAGTGGCTCTTGTACAATTCAAAGGCTGAGGAACCCCAGGGAGCACAGGGCCTGTGGGGGTGTCCCCACTGGACCCAGGCTCCCTGCGGGGCTTCTGTTTTTGAAATATACAAGAGCCCCACTAGGGGGTATGTCTACACTAGCACGTTAATTCGAGCTAGGTAGGCAAATCAGGCAACAGGAGTTGCAAATGAACCCCGGGATTTAAATATCCCGGGCTTTATTTGCATGTTCCCGTCTGGCCGCCATTTTTAAATCCCTCTTAGTTCGAACGAACTGCCCACAGCTACACGCGGCAGTTTAAAGTTAATCCGAACTAAGTCCTTAGTTCGGATTAACTGTTACTCCTCGTGGAGGCACCCTCATCAACTAATCGAATAGTCGATGTAAATCCTATTGAC